TGATGATATGATTGATATTGGCGATGATCATGATGTAAAATCCTTGAAGCGTGATTTGGCTAGCCGTTTTGCTATGAAAGACTTGGGTTTACTGCATTATTTATTAGGGATTGAATTTGCTCAATCTACAAAGGGTTATCTTTTATCTTAGAAAAAGTATATCTAAGATTTGTTTGAACACGCTCGAATTTCGGATAACAGACAGTCGATACCCATCTAGAGAGTAATGCCAAGTATTCTTCAACTGGCGGTGTTCCTTTTATCAGATCCGAGTCTTTATCATACCATTGTGGGGAGTTTAGTCTATCTTACCGTCACTAAACTAGATATTTCTCATGCTGTTCATGTGGTTAGCCAGTTTGTCATTGCTCCTTCCACAGTTCATTAGGTAGTTGTTCTTCGTATTTTGAGATATATTCCTGGTACTCGGTTTCGCAGTCTGGTGTTTCCTTCTACTTCCTCTCATGAGTCACGTGCCTATAGTGATGTTGAATGGGATAGCAATGTTTATGACCGCAAGTCTATTACTAGGTATTGTATCTTTCTTGTAGATTCGTTGATTTCGTGGAAAAGTATGAAACAAGATGTTGTCACTCGTTCATCTATAGAATATGAGTATCGAGTTATAGTTGTTGCTACTTGCGAGATTGTGTGGCTACGATGGCTTCTTGTTGACATGGGTGTTCATATTTCTCAGTGTACCTATTTGCAAAGTGACAACAAGAGTGTGATAATGATTGCCAAGAATTCGGTGTTTCATGAACGGACAAAACATATTGAGATTGATTGTCATTTCACTCGTTACCACTTTCAGCAGGGGACTATTTCTCTTCCTCATGTTTCATCCACAATGGAGATTGTTGATATATTTACGAAAGCTTTGACTGCTCCTTGGTTTTATTTTATGCCTGACAAACTTTCAATGCTTATTTTTGTCGCATTATATGTTTGAGGGGAGATGTTAGCATAATAAAGTTATTAGACATTTTCTGGTTTGGACCCTGTTTGGCTCTTTAGACCTATAGCGAGGTTTAATTTTTTTAGTTTTCCTATTTATATTGTCTTTTTATTTCTTTTATAATTATACACTTTTATAATTTAATAATAAAACCATAACAATATTTTGTTCATTAGTTTACAGTATAATATGTTATTTTAATCATTTCATTCCTTTGTGATTCCACATGCTAAGTATCATACCAATTTGTCCTTAAGATCATATCAACTTAAATTACAAAATATCTATGATTGTATAAACAATATCAAAAAATCACATACAACGCTTTTTTCTTTTTTTTTTGCGTACTTTAGCTTTTGATTACTAAATTATTTTTCGTGATTTATTAACCCGTGAACTTGTTGAAATGTGTACATTATACCATTATGACCGGTAATAGTGAGTTTTCCGGTTCCCCACATGATTTCCGGCCAAGTATGATTTTCCGGTCATCTTCTCCGACGATATTTCCGGCGTTCCTTACCTCCGGCTACACTTTTAATATAGGTTTTATTGAACGAATTAGACACAAAAATCAGAAAATGAACTCACAAAACACACCCAACTGTGTGTTCTTGGTGTTTGTGTGTGAAAATTCGAAGCCGATGAAGATGAACATGAACATGAACACACGAAAATGAACGCACAAATCGTAGCCTCTGATCTGCAAACCCTTGTCGGAACAAGTGACGGTAAACCCTTGTCGGAACGTCGCCGTCTTCTCCGGAACGTCACATTTCTTCCTTCTGATTTTCTACAAAACCAAGCTCCAATCTGCAAACCCTAACACCTATGGTTCAGATCTGGGTTTTAAGGGAAAAGTTTTCAAATTTTCTTTCTTGTTCATATCGTTCATCAATGGCAGAGTTGTAACTCTTTCAGATTTCGAAGATTCATTTCAGATTTCGAGCTTCCTTTCATCCAAACTCATCGATTTAGGAATTATTGGGTTCTACACACATGATGAACACAAGAACAAGTTATTGGTTCGTTTTTCAAATTCAAGCTCGTTTTTCGTTTGTTCATATTCAAGCTTTGATTTTTCGATTTAGTGACAAGAACGATGAGCACATCTGATATGGGTTTTGTTTCAGAGATGGGTTTTGATGATCTACCATTGAAACCCTTAAAACCTTAAAAATCTAAGAAAGGTTTTGATGAACCACCCTTGGATCTTTGAAGATTTGTGTTCAACGAAAACTTTTCTGAAAATCGTTCACATAAGAATACAAGTACATCATGTTTTCGGTCTTGTTTCAGATCATCATAGTTCTTATCTTGTTTGTGTTCATCCAATTTCTGGTTTTTGAGTTGAGTACATCTGAACCTATGAAACAATCTCAAATGAAGATGACCGGAAAATCATACTTGGCCGGAAACCACGTCGGAAACCGGGAAAACTCACTATTATCGGTCATAATGGTATAATGTAAACGTTTCAACAAGTTTAAGGGTTAATAAAACACGAAAAATAATTTAGTGACCAAAAGCTAAAGTACGTTACTCTCTCAAGTCATTATCCCAAAATTGAGTAACTAAAAAACTCAGAAGCGCACACGTGAAGATCAAACTAGAGATTTATGTAGACCATACAGAGGCATATCAAAATGTATTTATCAAAGAGCTTCTAGCCAAGTAGTATCAAGTGTTGGCGTACTTATTGAATGAAAATATAAGAAACAAAATATGCAGAGATCGATTTGATATGATTAGCTATATACGAATTCGCGATGTAGAGATCGATTTGACATGATTAGCTATACGAATCGGCGATGATTTTAGCAAATTAAGTAATGGATTAGTCATACTATTTTCCTATAAATTGCTTATTTTTTGTTATTTTAGTGGATAACTCCTAAGTTTAACTTTTCCCATAATAGATTATTTAACAAATGACATCGCTAGATTTGAGAAAAAAAAAATATGATGTGTCACCAGGTTTACATCACTTATATGTAAAATGAATAAACGATATAAAATCCAAATTTAATGTTATACCCTACCAAATAAATTGAATTGTGATAATTCCTTGATATATATGTAATTGTCTCTGAAAAGGATATTAATAGAAAAGAGGTATATCGCCGTTTAGGTTTTCTTTAGAAACGGCAAATATATTAAAGGAGGGAAAAACCTCAACTAGCAAGTAACTAGAAGAGGACCCAAAGCAACGTACAAAATAGTTAGACGATTACAAGCCAATAAAAGGGGACACTAACCAATCGTCCCAATTACATATTACCTTTTTACCCCTATGTTTAAGCCAATAAAAAACCATTGTCTTAATACATTCAGTCCCTTGCATCAGTAAGATACATTCCTTATGAAATAATCGTTTGTTCCGGAACCGCCATAGATTCCATAACATTCCATAACATATGATAGCTAGCCGTTTCCTTCTCTTCGGACAACATCCCCATGCCGATATAACATGAAGAAGATCTCCAGTATTCTTTATTAAACTATGATCCAGCGTTACACCACACCAGCTCATGATATTGCTTCTAATTCTGGACGCAAACGGGCAGTCGATGAGAACATGGTCTACACTTTCCTGTTGTCCAATACACACATTGCACCACAGTAAATTCACCTTAATACCCCTCATCTCCAAAGCAACGGCTGCGGGTATTCTACCTTGTACAGCTCTCCAAATGAAACATAACACCTTTATTGGGACCACCTTATACCACTGTATTGTCGTTATGCCCGTAATAGAGGTAGTAAGTTTGCCAATAACCTTCCTAACTGAACTAACTGTGTACGAACCATCACCCGTTAACTTAAATCTACAATGATCATCTCCCGGAGTTAAACGAGTACCAGAGATGTCATTGGTTAGTGCTTGCACATCTGGTCCTAATCCAAAATCGGACCGGGGGGGGGGGGGGGGGGGGGGGGGGGGGTTGATACTTCCAGTTCCAAGAGATGGTTGCTTCTGAAATTCTGTCAGCAACAGAACACTTTTTTCTATTTTCAAGCTCAAACAGGTGAGGATATTTGGCTTTTAAGTTCCCAGAACCTGCCCATGAGTCGTACCAGAATAGAGTTTCCTTTCCGCCCTTTACCACCTGTTTGAACTAATCGTGAACTCCCAATCCGTACTTTAACAGGTCCTCTTTAATACGCCCAATGTTGATCCATACCCCACTGCCATTCTGTCGAGATAAGTATTCGAAGGGCTTATTCGACAGATTGTGAATCCCGTGAATTATCCGGGCCCAGAGAGAGTTCTTCTCGTTTTTTAACCGCCACCACCATTTCACGAGTAGCCCATAGTTTAAAGATTGTATCGATCCTACACCCAATCCACCATCACTTTTATCTGCCATGACTTTATCCCAAGCCACCCAATGTATCTTCTTCCTATCATCACAGCCACCCCATAAGAAAGTTTTTCTAATTTTCTCCATCTCGTCTGTTACACCTTTCTGGGCCTTAAATAATGATAAATAATAGGTGGGCAAATTACCAAGAACTGACCTTATTAACGTTAATCTACCACCAAACGAGAGACCAAACGAGAGGGTTTTGGCCTTCCAGAGAGAAAGTTTGGAGTGGAATTTCTTAATTATGGCCTTCCAGAGAGAAAGTTTGGAGTGGAATTTCTTAAATAATGATATCGCCGTTTAGGTGACGTTAGAGTCGTAGTCCGAAATTACTGTAATTATGATCCATCTTTTTTAATTTTGCATTTATAGATTACTGCAATTATGATCCATCTTTTTAATTGTGCATTTATAGCTTCTTTATTTATTATAGATAACAAATAAAAATAAAGATTTTCTAACCAGTATCGAATATCAACGTATAAATCAAAGGTTGTCGATGATTGTTTTACCCAAAAAGTTATTTTTTCAATCATATTTTTTTAATTGTACTTAATCTGTATTATTATTATTATTATTAAAAAAAAAAGCTAAATGAAAAACTATAATCCCAATGTAATTCTAGTATGAAGAAATCGATTTGAAACACAACTACACAACCATAACTGCATAATTTAAGCACATATCATCGGAGATCTATCGGAGCTTTTATCGCCGGCGAGCGGCGGCGGCGGCTTCTTAAAAATCCAGGTCCCAAACACAAGAAATCCAAGCGCGTGACCTGCCACCGCCACCAGAAACACACCGCCGTTGAACGACATCACCGCCAGCATCAACATATAAGCCAATCCGGCTCGCAGTGTATGAACCAGGGTCTGAACCAATCCCACCGCCAACGGACCTGACCTTTTCCGGGCGAAGTTCGAGTGAGATAAGAACTCGACGAGAAACGCGAGGAAGAAGACGAAGATGAGAACGAGAGCGTACATACCCGAATTAGTTCCGGGCCAACCCGGGAACAAAATTTCACCATTTTTGCCCCAGAAAAAGGCCATGTGCATCATCGGGTGATGGTGCATCATGTCGCCTGCCATCTTCGGTGATGCTCCTGTGGCAGCGATTGGTGACGGTGACATATCGGTCATTCCGTTCATGTGATCCTCGTCCATTATCCTCTCTCCCTTTGTCTTTCTCTCTCTGACACACAGCATATGGGTGGCCGTTGGGGATATAAAGAGAGTGAAGTACTTCTACAATTCGATGGGTATGGGTAGAGTCAGTTGTACGTAGACGCATTCAAGTTGTAAACAAAATTTTGTTCTCAAAACTTGGATTCTTAGAAAACGGATTCGGTTTCTCGACCCGGTATGTATTACTTTCAGGAGATTACTTACCGCAAATTTGGTCATCTCGTTAACCAAAAAAAATATATGGATCGCGTTTAAAAGGGTATTAAAACAATTAAAAATAGGGTGACCCCAGATTTTATATTTCTATCCATGTAATAATTATTTTTTAGGTGATCTATTAATTCAGTGACAACTTTTATTTTTTTTCAACCAATGCATATTCCGAAAATTTTATGTTCTCAATAGGAGTGTTTGACTTTTAAGATTTCAGTTTTTTCAGTAAAATCAAAGTATTGGAATATCTCTACCCTCTAATTATTTTTCAATCATTGTTTTTACTAATCATTTTACTTTTCTTTACTAATCATTACTAATTAAATTATGATTACATAATTATTATTAATAGTTTTTTTAAGATATTATTTTTATTTCAATTCTAGCACTCTCATTTTTATTAAGCTTACAAAATATATACATAATAATATATACAACTCATTTGTATGAGCTTACTACAAAATATATTATCGTCGATGTAATATTATTTTACTAAAATATTATTTATTTCATTTATTAAATAGATGATTTATAATACTATTTTTATAAAATATATGTAAATATTTTTATTCAATTTTTTTAAAAAAAAGTTAAAACACGACACAACAATAATAAAATAATATTTTAACACAACAAATAATAAAAAAGTTCAAATATAAAATAATATTTGATGCAAAAAATAATAAAAAGGTTCAAATACATTCGCACTTAGTCTTTAATATGTATCCAATGTGTTTCAGAAGTACGAGACTTAAGTTGATTGTATAAATCAAAACGCGGCCAATACATAGTTTGCCATGTAGATGCAGACAGACTTCTATGGGCATTCCAATATGTTGTGGTAGGAGGCATTGGGTAATTTCCTTTCACTACTAGAAAACAAAGGCTTTTGCTACAGGAAAATAGCTACGGAAAATTTCCGTAGGAAATAACCTACACAATACCTACGAAATACCTACGGAATGGGAAACCCTAATTTAGTAACGGAATCGCTACGAAATAGCTACGGAATAGTTACAGATGAAAATCCGTAGGTATTCCGTTAGTAATTAGCTACACAATTGCTATGGAATAACGACGGAACTAAATCCGTAGATATTCTGTAGGTAATTCGCTACAGATTAGCTACGGACTATCGACAGAAGAGATCGACTACAGAATAGCTATGAAATAATTTTATATTATTATTATTATTATTATGTTTCATTATTTGAGTCTTACAACTATTTCTTTTGATCCTTTTGTTTTTACATATATAAAACACAAACATTTAAAAATAATAATATTTAGTATATCATGTATTTGTTTAATGATGTTAATTGTGCCTTAAGAACAAACATAGATAACTTTTTGTTTATTATGTATATAGTAATGGGTTCTAATGATGCATACATTTGTATGTGAGTTTATGTTATATATAACTTGGTTAAAACAAAGTCATCAAAATATATTGAAGTTGTGAAAAAACTGAAACGATAAAAAAAACAACATTTGACCTTTGGAAAATAAAAAAATAAAAAAAGACCGTAGGTAATCTGTAGATAATACCTACGGATTACCTACCGATTACCTTTGTATGTAGGTAATCTGTATGTATTTTGCTACAGATTACCTACAGATTACCTTTATATGTAGACAATCTGTAGGTATTTACCTACAAATTACCTACGGTCTTTTTTTATTTTCTATTTTTCAAGGATCAAATGTCGTTTTTTTCGTTTTATTTTTTTCACAACTTAATTATACTTTGATTGCTTTGTTTTGACTGAGTTATACATAACATAAACTTACATACAACGTATGCACCATTAGAACCCATTACTCATTTAGAAGTTTTTTTTTAAATCAAAGTTATTTTCTCAACATAAATAGAAATAAGTACACACATTTACATACACGCCATATGTATGTATTATGTTTAGTATATCATGTATTTGTTTAATGATGTTAATTGTGGCTTAAGGACAAATATAGATAGCTTTTTGTTTATTCTGTATATAGTAATGGTTTCTAATGATGCATACGTTTGTTTGTAAGTTTATGTTATGTATAAATTGGTTAAAACAAAGCAATCAAAGTATAATTAAGTTGTGAAAAAAACGAAACGAAAAAAACGATATTTAACCTTTGAAAATTGAAAAATAAAAAAAATATCGTAGGTAATCTGTAGGTAAATACCTACAGATTACCTTTATCTGTATGCAATCCGTAGGTATTTACCTACAAATTACCTACGGTCTTTTTTTATTTTCTATTTTTCAAGGATCAAATGTCGTTTTTTTCGTTTCATTTTTTTCACAAGTTAATTATAGTTTGATTGCTTTGTTTTGACCGAGTTATACATAATATAAACTTACATACAAACGTATGCACCATTAGAACTCATTACTCATTTAGAAGTTTCTTTTTTTTTTTTAAATCCAAGTTATTTTCTAAACACAAATAGAAATAAGTACACACATTTACATACACACCATATGTATGTACTATGTTTAGTATATCATGTATTTGTTTAATGATGTTAATTGTGGCTTAAAGACAAACATAGATAGCTTTTTGTTTATTATATATATAGTAATGGTTTTTAATGATGCATACGTTTGTTTGTAAGTTTATGTTATGTATAATTTGGTTAAAACAAAGCAATCAAAGTATAATTAAGTTGTGAAAAAAAAGAAACGAAAAAAACGATATTTGACCTTTGAAAATTGAAAAATAAAAAAATACCGTAGGTAATCTGTAGGGTAATTAATTTTTTTTATTCAAATAATTAAAAATATAGGCTTAATGGTATTTTTTATCAATCACAAAAAGTTTCTGTTGCTAACTCTTTTGTGTTTTTATTTATATATACTAATATATGATATTTTCATATTGGTAAGGTATATTGTTGTTACGGGTAAAAATTGAAATATGTTGTCATTATTAATATTAGGTAAAGTGCATTGTTATTATGGTTGAAAATGATACTATGTTGCTATTATTAAATTAGGTAAAACATAATGCTATAATGGGTGAAAATTATAGTATGTTGCTATTATTGATATTTAGTAAAGTAAATTGTTGTCATTGATAATAATTTAAGTACATTGATATTATGGATTAGAAATGTAAAGTACAATGGTATAATGGATAAAAATATAGTATGTTATTATTATGCATATTAAAAGTTATTATTATGGATATTAAAAACAATGTACATTTTTATTATCAATAGTGTGTCTTTATATTGAATTAAAAGTAAAGTACATTGCTATCATGGTTTAAAGTTGAATTACATTTACTAACTGCATGTGTTTGTCTTGCTATATTTAGGTAAATGAGTTGCGACAACAAATGTCAAACATGGAACAAGCCATGGAAGAAAAGCAAAGTGAAATGAATTTGCAAATGCAACAAATTCGAAATGAAATGGAATTGCAAGTGCAACGACAATTGGCGGCCTTTATGAAACAAATCAATCCGTCCGGTAATCCACCAAGTAGTTCTTAGTTTTTGTTTTAGAACACTAAATTAATGTTATGTTATTGACTAGTTCTTAGTTTTTGTAATGGTATTGTAATGGTATTTTGAGTATTTGAATGTATGCATGGTATGTTAGTGACTATTTTAATGGTAATGAATGTAATGGTGTTTGACTATTATTTTAATTATTTATTTGGTTTTTTTAGCAGAAAATTTGGATATTTTTTAAATTATAAATTTAATATACAAATAGATTTTTGACTGAATTGTAGGAAATAAATATTCTGTAGGAATTATAAATTTAATATAGCAATAAAAACTGGTAAAAATTTCATAGAAAAATTGTAGGAAATAAATATTCAGTAGGTATTCTGTAGGAAATAAAATCCAATAAATTCTGTAGGTATTCCGTAGGAAAAGATGTCGGTAGGTAATCTGTAGGTAAAATAGTTGGTAGGTATTCTGTAGGAAAATCAGTTGGTAGTTATTCCGTAGGAAAAGGTGTTGGTAGGTAATCTGTAGGTAAAGTAGTTGGTAGGTATTCTGTAGGAAAATCATTTCGTAGGTATTCCGTAGGAAAATAATCCGTATGTATTTTGTAGGAGTTTCGTAGCTAAATAACCCGTAGGTAATCTGTAAGTACTCCGTAGTTAACGTGTTCCGTAGGTATTCCGTAGTTAAATTTGTAACAGAATATTCCGTAGGAAATGCGTAGGAACGTTTGTAGCTAATTTGTAGGAAAAAGTTACCCACGAGGGTTTTTCCTACAACCCGTTTTTTGTAGGAAATCTGTAGGTAACGCCTTGTTCCTACGGATTTACTACCAATTCTGCTGTAGGTAATTACTTAGTTTTCTAGTAGTGTTTCAAAAACACCGACATATAATGAATATCGTTTACAAGTACCAATGTAATAGCTCGATGGGGTTGAAACTCTTCGGGACCTCTCCAAAGAGGGAAGCATGTCGTAGATTGTTCGTGGCTTAGACAATGAACGGTTACACCAAACTTGTTGGCAATCAAGTAACCAGTCAAAGGCATATGCAACCAATGTCGCCGGGAAGGTGCAGGTAACTGAAACGAACATAATGACCGGCGACAATGACCGGTCATTATGTTCGTTTCAGTCACCTGCACATTCCCGGCGACATTGGTTGCATATGCCTTTGACTGGTTACTTGATTGCCAACAAGTTTGGTGTAACCGTTCATTGTTTAAGCCACGAACAATCTACGACATGCTTCCCTCTTTGGAGAGGTCCCGAAGAGTTTCAACCCCATCGAGCCATTACGTTGGTACTTG